TTTCATAGCCTGTACCCTTTATGGCACAGGTTCAGCCTCCAAAGAATCTATGTGCAGCAATTATGTTAGAAGTAGGCTTTAAAAAAAGACATTCTAAGAGAATAGAATAATTCTCTTTGAATACTATTATCAACTTTAAAAGAGCCTTTCATTCAACTTGTGACTAGATCGTCTAAAAGAAAAAAGCTAAAATATCAACAAATTTAGATGAACAGTTAAAGAAGAACTATAAAGTGCTTGCCTACCATACATGAAGTCCTGAGTTCAACACAAACAGAAACTAAATTGTTTAATGCCAATTTGTGTCTGCACGTTCATGTATCTGTGCACAGACATCACCTACCATGAATATGTTGAGTTTTAACTACCTTCCCCAACCCTCCCCTATCCCAGAAACAGCCTGGCTCTTTTTACTCATCATTTAGGGACCCCAGGGTACAGCCTCTGCTCCAACCTTGAACTCAGTGCTGGACTTGTCTACCTACTCAAGATAATACATAAAAGGAAATCAAATAGAAAGCTAATAGACTAGACGTCATGTATTCTTCGTGGAGCAGTTGCGAAGTCACAGAAGAGACATGTCCCCACTCCAGACATCTTTCTTGGCCTCTGAGATCAGATCCATCATCCAAACAGATACTTTTTCCTGAATACCAAATGGATTAACACCTCAGTTAAATAAGAATATTTCTTAGTTTTCTGGAGTTCAATTCAACTTCTACTTTTAGAAATTAGGGAAATTAAAATTATTCCTCAAGCTGGGCGTGGTGGCGCACACCTTTAGTCCCAGCACTTGGGAGGCAGAGGCAGGCAGATCTCTGTGAGTTCAAGGCCAGCCTGGTCTACATAGTGAGTTCCAGGACAGCTGGGGCTACAGGGAGACCCTGTCTCAAAAAGACCAAAAAAAAAAAAAAAGTTCATATTCCCCAAAAGCAGTGTTTATCATCAGTGAGAAACTGAACTTGACCCTTTAGCACTATAGGTGTTGTCTCATCTTTGATTTTCCCTGAAGATACTGCACTGACAATCAGAATTCCTCAGGAACTGCTTAAGGTCCCTTATACCCTGAATTCCACACCCACACTTCCCTTGGGGTCTTGCTGACTCCTTGGGTCCACCACTTTTTTTTTTTTAATCAATCATTTCTTTAAAGAGTTGCATTACATTTTACTTATTTTGTGTGCATATGCGCACATACCTGTATGCCACAGTGAGCATGTGGTAGTCAGGAGGCAACTTGCAGGAGCTGGTTCTCTCCTTCCACCATGTGGGTCCCAGGGATTGAAATCAGGTTTCCAGGCATGGCAGCAAGCACCTTTACCCACTAAGCCATCTTGCCACCCCACCCCAGCCCCCAGACAATCGTATTTTCTTTTTCTTCTTTCTTTCTTTTTTTTTTGGACTTTTTTGAGACAGGGTCTCCCTGTAGCCCCAGCTGCCTGGAACTCACTATGTAGACCAGACTGGCCTTGAACTCACAGAGATCCACCTGCCTCTGCCTCCCAAGTGCTGGGACTAAAGGCGTGCGCCACCACACCTGGCAACAATCATATCGTCATTGCTCTCCTTCCACTCCAGAATAATCTAATTTTCTGGATAGCTCACTGTCTCCAAAGTCTACATCTTCGTAAAACTAATTCAAGACTTTGGGAAATCAAATCCAGGAAAAGACTTAGGAGACAATTGCTTCATTTTATTTTATTTTATCTTTTCCTGAGAAAAAGAAACCCAAGATAGCCTCACTGACTGACAAAGTGAAGGGAAAATAAAGATATGTGAAAAACATATAAAAGCATATGTTAACTAATATAGGTGTCAGTCTTTATTTCTGATGGCCACAGGCATTGTCATGGAAGAGCTCTGTGAGTTCAAGGCCAGGCTGGTCTACATAGTGAGTTCCAAGCCATCTGCAGCTACAGGGAGACCCTATCGCAAAAAGACCAAAACAAACAAAAAAAAAGTCTTTAAAAAAACAACAAAAAACCATCATTAACAATGTCTCAAGTATCCCAGACCAAAGAGGATGACCTTGAATTCAGATCATCCTGTAGTCATCCTGGGATAACAGGTGTGCACCACCACACGTGGCTTATACAATGCTCAGGATGCAACCTGAGGCTTCAGGCATGCTAGGAAAAGCACTGTACTGATTCGGTCATATCCCACCATCCCCATTTTTAATGTTTTTCTGGAGTCCAGAGTCTCTCCAAATCCCCAGTGTGTGCCTAGTCCTTTCTTTCTTCATGTGACAGCCAGAGCAATCTAAAATTCAAGTGTAAACTTGCTTCCTTCCTGTTCAGCCTCTTTCCACAGCTACCTTTGCTTAAGTGCTGTCCACAGTGTAGTGGGTGGTTTACAGTCACATGTCTATGACCTGCTTCTGCTCACCCTGATGTTCCCAATTTCTTGGAAATGACCCCAGAACATCCTTCTTTTCCTGCCTGGGCACATGCTGTGTCATTGGCCTGCAGTGAGATTTCTCTAGCAACAACACATTGTCAGGCAGAATTCAAGATAATTCTTTATCCCTCTCCTGGGCTCTTGTCGCTTGTATTAGGGTCCTTGGCTACTTAACAATTGTACACTAACTTGTGATTCCCCCAAACAAGAACTGTTCCTGACCTCTGAATGATCAGTACATAACACAGTGCAGGGCACACAGAGATCAGAGGACAGTTTCTAATACTTGCTTTGTTACTTTTTAATTTATTTTTTATTTTATGTGTATGAGTGTTTTGCCTGCATGTATAAAAGTGCATCTGTGTTTTGCAATGTCTGCAGAGGTCAGAAGAGGGTGTCAGGTTCTCTGGAACTGGAGTTACAAGACAGTTGTTAGCTGCCCTGGAAACTGAACTCAGGTCCTCTGCAAGAACAGCGGATGTTCTTAACCACTGAGCCATCTCTCCAGTCCCATTTAATGCTTTCTTCCTCCATCAATAAGATAGCACTCTTGGGAATTTTTTTTTTTTTTTTTTTGGTCTGAGATGGTCCACCTGTAGCTCCAGCTGTCCTGGAACTTACTATGTAGACCAGGCTGGCCTTGAACTCACAGAGATCCACCTGCCTCTGCCTCCCAAGTGCTGGGACTAAAGGCGTGCACCACCACGCCTAGCGGGAATGTCTTTAAAAGTTGAAACAAAAACTAGCAAGATTGTTCACTGGTTATAATGGAACTTGCCACATAAGCCTGGTGGCCTGAGTTCAGACCCCAGGACCCACATGGTAGAAAGCAGCTCTGTAACACACGTACTTGTAGCATACACGCCCATGCACACATCATATACGTGCAATATTAATAATGAATTTTAAAAATTGTTCTTAAGTTGAAATAGGGTTGTTACTAAGTGGTAGAGCCCAGCATTTGTGAAGGTCTGGGCTCAATCCCCAGCATAGATATTCAGTCAGGCCTTTCTGTCTTAGAAGTCTTACTTTGGTGATTTGGGGGTTTAGGGGGTGAGAAACAAGCACACTTCACATTCGATAGGGTTTAAATCCCCAATGCAGCCTTTGCCAGCTGAGTGTCTCCAAACAAGCTTCTTTTTTTTTGCTCTGTACCTATACCAGCTTGACAGTAATTCCTGTATCATGGACTTTTTTCAACAATTCACTTTTATTTTAGCGTTCAATTTAAGATTGCCCATTTTTCCAATTAGACTTTTTCCAAAGTATCCATAAAATAGGAAATATGTAATAAATGTACCCAAAGAGTTAGTGTCTGTCTGTCTGTCTCTGTCTCTCTGTCTCTCTGTCTCTCTCCCTCTCTGTATGTGTGTGTGTGCTGAGAAGTGTGAAGGAATACATTTTAGCTTACTTTCACACGCCCACTGGTTAGACAGGCCCAAGGGCTTCCTGTCCTCTGAGAAAAGTGTGCTGTAAAGGGGGTGACTTAATGAGGCATAAAGAAAAGGAAATGTAAGCTTTGGCTCCCCTCGTTGACCATTTGTGGTTCCTACAGGGCAGACCCGGATCTGTGGTGTTGAGACAGGAAGGGAGGTTGCCTGCCTTAGTCTTCTCTGGCCCTCACTTCCACTTACTGAGAGGGCACCCTTTAAAGTCAAGGTGCTGCTGTACATTCGGGGCATGTCCCTGCATCCCTGAAGTGCCTCGGTTACACAACTGAAATCTGGCTCTACCGACATCTTGCCATTCCTATGTGGTATTCTTCATCCAAACCAAACCAGAAGCATAAAACACACAATCAGCAACCAACAGAGAGAAGGGATCACGTCTCCTTGGACTCTGAGTGCAACAAGCAGAAAAGCTTCTAAGTAGGAAGTGGGACCTGCCTGCTCTGATCCTAGAGGGAATGGCTCAAAAGTCCTCCTTTCTCAGGTTGAAGAATGATCTCTGGGGTCTGATGGATTGACTCTTCACTCGTTAATCTTGAATGTTAAATTGGCAGAAAGAAGGATAGAACCAAGCCATCACCTCTTTTGGAAAAAGAGTTGAACAGTTTTAGGGAGAAAGTGGGGCAAGTAGAACACACTTGGAAGCCGGACTCAAGGTCAAACCACAACCAAACACTTCCAAAAATCCATTAAGGAGCAGAGTGGTAAGAACGGAGGAACTGGTGTCCCTATGGGACTAAAGAAAGATCATCATTTCTTTGAGCCCAAATAAAGGCTAAGATGTAGGAACAACCTGTCTCCTCCCAAAGATGTTCGTGTCTTCCTGCTGGACCATTCCCAAAGCAGAGGCTGTGCCTGGATGGAGCTCACAGCTGTACAGGGAGGAGAGGGTGGAGAAGAGAGACCAGACCTATTCTGCTCTGATGGCTGAAGTTCCATGCAGCCCCGCTCTGCTGCAACACTAGACACCTAGCTGGTCTGCCTTCTCTGAAGACTTGGGCTACAACTCTTGGGAACACCTGCAACTCCCACTTTAGATCTGAGATGTGTTTGATATAGAGAATTGGGAGAGACTGAGGCTCTTCACAGCAATGAGAGGAGGAGGGTACAGGCAATGGGGAGGACAGGCTATTTCTTACAAGCATGATGTCTTCAAGAGCGCCTTGCCTCCCGACTTCTGGGGGATTTTGATTTTGCTCCGATGCAGAATGAAGGGGCCCATGATCTGAAAGGGTCTTCCCCTGCAGAGCTGGGAGCAGTTGGAGAGGGCGTCCCAATGATGAGACTGCCACCTGCCTTGGCTGCTCCAGGAATGGGGGTGTTCTGAGCAAAAGGGACCGTGGAAGGGGGGCCAGACATGGTCTTTCTTGCAGTAATGTTGGCCAAAGGTGTGCTCTGGCTCCAACTTTGTGCAAAGGGGGCCAGGGTGCTGGGGGTCCCGCTCTGCCCTCTTCTAGAGGTGCTCACTTGTGGGGCAGCCAAAATGACCCCAGGCTCCCCACAGTCCATAGGAGTCACTAAACCCCCAAAAGCAAAAGGTCGTGGGGCTGTGCTACCAAATACTGAGCCACAAGCACCACACTGGATGGGCTTCCTGATGGCTCCGAGGCTGGTTGAACTAGCATCACTCAATGGAAAGCCAGTTGGAGTCCTGACAAAGCTTGACTGGTTGCTGGCAGGGGAGTGGATGGTAGAGGCTGAGGATATCAACCCTCCAGGGGCTGACTGTGTGGTCTTGCTGAGGACTAGCTGAGCAGGAGCTGCCATCTGGGTTGGGGATGAGACTGAGTTCTCTGAAAGGAAAGACTTTCTGATCCTTGGAGCAAGAGCTGGTTGGAGAGACCATTGCTTCTGCCCATCTGTAGCCCCAAGTGCAGGCTGGGAAATACTTCCTAAAAATACTGGGAAAGGGGACTTTGAGCTTGACCCCAAAGAGGTTGTGAGTGCCAAGGTCATGTTGGAGATGCTAGGTGTCAATATAGGCTGGTTTGTGGGTGCCAAGCCTGAGCTTGACAGAGGGCTGCCCATACCCTTCAGTTTAGCAGTGCTTCTGAGTGGGGATATCTGGATTGCATTAGTAAGAACCTGGCTAAAGAGAGTGACTGTGTGCATAGTTGGACTTGTAGGATGCTGGCATGGGGAAGTGAAGTTGGTGACTGGGGAGAAGCCCTGGGTAGTCCCAAGCAGAAAGGTGTGGCAAGAAGGGGGAACAGAGTGGGTGTTACCTATGGTGCTGGCCATCTTCACCACACTCAAGTCTGAAGCAGGGTCTTTGGATATGCTGGCTAGGCTGGCAGATGTGTCCACATAGGGTGCTGTGGCCAGGCCATGGGCATGTTGGGAAGAAGCAGACGTGGGTGCAGGAGAGGGCTGCCTGGAGGACACAGGCGCTGCCACCAGCATGGTATTGAGTGGTTTTACACTGCCAAAAATAGGCTTGGAGGTGGGCGTTAAGACACTTGGAGTTTTAGGGATGGGAGAACTTGAAGTTGCAACTGTGACAGAAATTCTGGAATATAAGGAGCCCCCAACCTCGCTAGTGTGCAGGGGTCCCCAAATAGATTTGAACACTGGATGAGCAGAAGTCTGGGCCGGAGGTACAGATACAGGAAGATGGAGACTTGGGCCACTCATCACCCCAAGCAGAGTGTTTTCTGTGATGGGTGCTGTGGGGATGACCACAGACAAGGGTGGGGGCATGGCAGACCTGTGAGGCTGAGGGATTGAAGGTGGCCAGGCTGGACCAGTGTCTGGTAGTATGGGAGAGCTTGGAGACAGCTGGATGAAAGCTGCTGTGGGCTTTGAGTCTGAAGAGATGCCCTGAACCGGGTCTGACTTCCAGCACCCAGGTGAGGCCCACTTGTTCCTTAACTTTTCCAGCTGAGGATTCATGACAGTACTGGATGCTGTCCCAGAAGAAATGGGATTGAGAGAGGAGAGAAACTGAAACGCAGTTCCGGTCTCAGGTTTGGGACCCGTGCTGGTCCCAGGTGGATCCTCCTTAGTTTGGTTACTCTGCCTGGCTTGTGTCTGTGAGGTCAGGTCCTCCTCAGTGACAGTACAATCTCGTTGGCCAGGTCCGGTCAACAGGTCCTCAGGACCAGACTGCAGGGGTGGAATCTGCTGGCTTGGGTGCCCAGAGTTGCTGGGTGCGTCCAAGGGGTGAGAATGAGGACTTTTCCCTGCCTTTTTCAAGGGCCACTCGGGCATCTGGACCGAAGCCTTGGAAAACTTCCAAGACTGTGTGACATCTCCGGAAGAGCTGTAAGTGCTGCTGATTGCGTTCCTTTGGGTGCTGAAGGGGCCTCGCGAGCAAATGCTGGCCAGGACCGAGCAATGAGACCTCTTTGACTTCGGGTCTGAGGTCCTGGAGTGGAGGGTCCTTTTCAGAGGCCCAGGCCTGGCCACAAAAGCGACGGTGGCCCCACCTTTCACCGGGGGCTTGAAGGAGGAAGGCGGGCTTGCCGGGCTCCTCCTCCTGTTGGAGCTGTGGCGGAACAGAGGCTCTTCCCACCTCGCTGTCACCCTCCTGTGCTCCTGGAGGGCCATCAGCACTGGGTCCTTTGCACACTGCCCGGGTGGGTCCTCCAACGGCCCCGCAGGGTTCACCGCCCTGTCTGTGAAGAGCCCCGGGCACGCCTTCTGCTCGGGAGGCGAGATCTTGACGGTCACAGGGCTCCACGTAGCCCTGGGGTGCCGAAGGGACCAGATGTTCCGTTTGAGGTAACTTTCCCACCAGTCGGAAGGAAGAGACCCCATGATGGCGTTCTGCGGCCTGGGCATGGGAAAGCGCCTCCAGGCCTCGCTGACTAGGGCGGTGGGGTTGGCGGGGTCCCAGCTGGGCGGCCTCGGGGCTGGCCGGTGCCTTCGGGCGGGCTGGGCACGGCGGACGCGCTGCACCCGGTGCACCTGGCACAGGGGCCGGCGGGGTGCGGGCCTCTCCCGCCCGTCTGCGGGCCCCGGGGCTGGGGATGCCGAGGACCCCGGCGTGCCCAGATAGCTGCCCATGGAGAGCAGGCACCGCCACCGGGTTTCGGCTTCAGGTGTTCGGGACCTGAGCAGGGGTGGCCGAGTCTAAGCGTCCGCTGCCGGAGTGACGGTTGGGCCCAGCGCACAAGGACAGCGCGAGAGTCTCCGTGCTGGGGACACGCGAGGCTAGACAGCCGGTCGGCCTGCTGTGGGATGCCAGTGCCAGCTGGCCAAGACGGACAGTACCTGAAAGGGAGGGTGAGGATGCAAAGAAAAAACAAGAGACAGAAAAGATACTTGGGAGGCCTGTCAGCAGAGACTGCAGCCGGTTTATTTCAGCTCCACCTTCTTATGCAGAAGAACTCAATTAGTTTCAACAGCTGTTTTTCCCACCTGTGTCTGCAGGTCAAGGAGCGGTCAAATAATTGTTTTGTGAGCTCCACCATATAAACACATTCCTCCTGATTTGGCAGATTAGGTACTGGTGTGCAAGACACAAACTCAGTAAACAAGCAAGCCTGCCGCAGCTTATGTACATAATGGATTAACAGCTCCCAACAGTGGGATGTGAGGTCCACGCTCGGCTCTGGCTTCCTCCAGAGCAACTTGGGCAGAGCTGGGCAGACCTGGGCCCTGTGTCCAGCAGCCAAGCACCCAGGACCTGCAGCAGCCAGGCCTTGGTCTGCTTACCCATCCGACCTTGCACTGGTTCCCCAAGCTCTGAAATGTGAGCAACTGGGCGAGGTCTGAGCTCTTCGGTGTGTTGGGGGGACTTCAGGGGTGCACATAACACGGTGGCACGCGTAGAACTGTGCAGTCACAGGACCAACTTTGCTGCTGGAGGCACCACCCAGGTTCCATCCCCAGGTTCCTACTTGCTGTAAGCTGCTTGTTTCCGTGATCCACGAGGAACCAGGGAAGGGAATACCTTGAAGACACTCGTGGCCTCCCTTCAGCTGTCACCATAACCCACTTGCAGATTAGGTGGGTTTTTCAGGAGTTGGGGGAAGCCTTGCTGTACACTTACCAAAGGTCTGGACCTAGCCTCAAAGAATCCTGCCAGGTGGGGACTGATTGGGGATTTTGCATTCCACTAAAACCAAAACAGGCAAACAACAAACCCTCAAAACCAGACGAGAAGAAGCTAGCCGAGCCAGAGGACTCATGGTGGAAGGAGAGAACCTGACTCAGGCAAGTGGTCCTCAGACCTACGCACACACACACACAGGTACACACACATGCAGAAAATGAATAAGTAAATGTAAATTTTATTTTTTAAAACTTTTTAAAAGTTTTATTATTTTAATTTTATGTGTATGTGTGTATTGCCTGCATGTAGGTAAGTGTACCCGTGTTATGCAATGCCTGAGGAGGTCAGACGAGGCTATTGGATCCCCTGGGACTGGAGTTATGGACAGTTGTTAGCTGCCATGTGGGTGCTGGGATTCAAACCCAGGTCTTCTGCAAGAACAACCAGTGTTCTTAACTGCTGAGCCATCTCTCCAGCCCCAATAAATGTAAATTTTAAAAACTTTTAAGTAATGGGTCTGGAGAGATGGCTCAGCAGTTAATAGCACTGGTTGCTCTTACAGAGGAGGGAGGAGTTCAGTTCCCAGCACCCATATGGTAGCTAACAAGTCTGTCATTCCAGTTTTAGGACATGTGATACCCTCTTCTGGCTGCCATGAGAATTGCACACATGGTGCATGTACATACATGTAGACACCCAGAAATATAAAATAAAAATAATTTTAAAAAGAAAAAAAATTTATGTAAGGCAGAGAGCCTCCACATGTGCACACATGGATGCACTCACACATAAATGCACTACACACAAAGATACACAAAATGTTACTATGAATAAATATGGACATGCAGCAGTTGTAACAATTACAAACAGGGCTGGGCAAAGTGGCACACACCTTTAATATCTGCATGTGTGTGGGGACGGGCAGAAGGATGGATCTCTGAGAGATCAAGGCCAGCCTGGTCTACATAGTGAGTTCCAGGCCAGCTGGGGCTACAGAGAGACACTGTCTCAAAAAGACAAAAAAAAAAAATAGCTTATATTTAAAATGGAACCTGGCAACACAGAATCGTAGGATATCACTACAACTACGCATTGTGTAATTTTATTTTATGAACCGGTCAGAGTAGGCAAATCCAGGGACACAGGAATGGCTGGTGGTTGCTTAAGCCTGGGGCAGAAGAATGAATAAAGGAGAGAACAGAAACTATTTTAAACTGAAATTTGACTGTTGAGATGGTTGCATGTCTATGTCAATAAGCTAAGAGAAGCTGAGCCATACAGTTTACATGACTGAATTGTAGAGTATCTGAATTATCTCTCAAGATAACTGAACTTTGTTGTGTTTGTTTTGATTTTTTGAGACAAGATCTCAGGTAGCCCAGACTGGCCTCAAACTCACTATGTAGCCAAGGCTGGCCTTGGCATCCTGATCTTACCATCTCTACCTCCCATGTACTGGGATTACAAATGTAGCCACCCCACCTGGCCTCTGATACACCTGTTGTTGTGATGTTTTTTACATTACCACATGGCTGAAGTATATAATGATGACGGTGGTGGTAACCAGCGTTCATGAGCATTTACCACATACTTACATAATGATATAAATTAAGTGCTAAAACTGGTTCTGTTTTATGAAGAAACAAATGAGACATGGAGATACTATAACTCAACTAAAGCTGAATAGTTAGGCGTTGTACAACCAGTATTTGAATGAAAATGTTTTGGTTCCAGGGCCCACCTTCCTAACTGTTAAGACGTCATTTTTTTCTTTATATTTTCTTTATTATTTTTATCTATGTGTATAAGTGTATTGCCTGCATGTATATGAGTGCACCCACAACGTGCAATGCCACGGAGGTCAGAAGAGAGCTTCAGAGTCCCCTAGAACTGGAGTTAAGGACGGTTCGTAGCCGCCATGTGGGCCATGTGCTCTTAACCGCTGAGTCATCTGTCCAGCCCCAAGACATAATTTTTTTTTTTATAATAAAAACAGTTTCCAGGGACAACAAATACTAAAGGTCTGGAAACTGGGACAGGAACTAGCTCTTGTTAAGTAGTCAGGGGAAAGGCATGTGATGAAAACTGCAAGTTGGTTACGTGTGTCACCATGAAAATAGACATCAGGGTTAAAAGGACGGCCAGGGTTGGAGAGACTGAGGGACGGAGTGACAGCTCAGCAGTTCAGAGCACTGGCTGCTCTTGAAGAAGATCCAGGGTTTGGATCTCAGCACCAACATGGCAGCTCGCAACAGCCTGTAACTCCAGTATCATGGGATCCAATGCCTTCTTCTGGTCTCTGAGGGGCTCCTACATGCACATAGTACACTTAAACTCATGCAAGCACATAAATAAACCTTAAAAAAAAAGAACTCTGAGGAGGGTAAATAAGAGGTAGGAGGCAGCCCAGTAGCCAGGTAAGAGCAAAGGCAGGGCTCTCTGGGAAGCAAGACCAGTGTCCTGAGGAACACATGCTGTTCCATCCAATCTTCCACCTAGACCACCCCAGACTGCCCTGTAAAACAAGGCACTAAATGCAGCTACAAACTATTCATGTAAATGAGAACCAAGGGAGCGAACTTTGATGAGCAGCTAGCTAGGCACCTGCTGGGTTGATGGTGGCATCGCTGGCTAGAGCTAACAGCCAGCAGATGGTCAAGGCCAGCAGCTAGCAAAGTAGAAGGCAAAGGTGGACAGAGGACACTGGAACCACCCTGAAAGGGTGGGCAGGCACATGAACAGAGCATGGGCAGTTTCCTGTCAGAAGAACAGAACAGAGCATGTCATCCCCTAGTTGACTCAGCCTGTGATATGTACAGAGACCTAGTCAGTCTCAATAGAAATGGCCCAGTCTTTGTTTTCTGCCTTAAGTCCTATAAAATATTTTCAAAGGAACTTGGTTTTATTCCCTCTCTTGAGAAGCCCTCCCACTCTCAAAAGCCGTCATTTTTCTTTAATTTCCATTAATAAAGCTCATTTGCTCACTCCTTTGTCCGTGTCTGCAATCATCATTAGCATGAGACAATGAACTGGAGAGCCACTGCCTCATTGACTTTGGTGAACACTGGGTCCTCTACCTTGAGTCCCTGGGTCTGCTCATCTGGACCAAGAAAGGTCCCACCACACTCAAGACATCGCATCAGAACAAGGTAATAAGAGGCGGACTATCATTTGTACAGCTGGAGAAGTCTGACAGCGAGTGGACAGTGGAGAATTTGAGCATGCGCTACAGACACAGATGAGACTCCACCTGCACTTTGTCAGCTATTAATTGATTTTCAAACACAGACAGTGATACCACTTTCCTCTGTGATGTTTCCATTTTCAATTGGGGTTACTTCAGCGAGGCACACTGGCAGTACTACTTGGGCTGAAGTGGGAAGATGGCTTTGGTCCACGACTTGGAAATCAGCCTTGGCAACACCAAGCTCTCTCTCTTTAAAAGAGAAACTCACTGATTTTCATACCACTTGTCACTTATATTAATAGGGTCACTTCTGTATGAATTCATATTTTTAACTAGCTCAGTTTAAACATGCATGCTATAAGCACTGGTAGATAATAGATATGATCAGTATAAGCAAGCTCTTTTTGATCCTCATTTTATTTATTTTTGTGTATGAGTGTTTTGCCTGCATGTATGTAAGTGCTCCTGTGTCACGCAATGCCCGACGGAGGCCAGAAGACAGCATTGGATCCCCTAGAATTGGAGTTATAAGCCTTCATGTGGATGAGCTGGGAATGAACCCAGGTCCTCTGGAGGAACAGTCTTAACCACTGAGCTGTCTCTCCAGCACCAGTTAGTAGTGTGGATGTTGCAATGCGGAGGTCCCTGAACAAAGAACATCTAACTTTAGGAGATGTTTAAGAGTGAGCCAGACCTGTTCTCAGAGTTGTTCCTTAGGATTTCTCTTATAACTGTTCCTTGAACAAAGGACATGTTCTCTTTATTATTTAAACAGTATATCCAGCGTGGTATAGAAATGACAAATTTTGTCTTATTAGGGAA